ATCCATGTCGCAATTCCCATTACCACAAACCAAAACCTCACAATTCCAGTTTTTCAGTTGTTGCAGCGTCCAAAATGACTTCAGTTAGCTCACAATACAAAACAACAGAAAAGGTTATGGCTAAAAAAAGACAGACGATAAAATGCTCATTGGCTGATTTAACACGAGCCAGATAGGAAAACAGTTTTTACTCTTGTTTGTATGTATGGTTTGAGCTCTAAAAAGTCTGTATAACTGTCCAAGAGCCAACAATTATCTTAAAGGGACATGGTCTACTAGCATGCAATGCGGTCGTGTTTTAGATTTTTCATATATGGAAAATGAGGTGGCTTAAAAGGTCGAATCTTAAAGCATCTACATTCATAGTATAAAGGAATAATAAGGAGTAAGTTTTTGCTTATATTACGATGTATTTCTATTTTCAAACATAAACAAAAGCTCGAAAGGGATGCTGGTGTACCATGTCCCTTTAAACACTCTCTTCCCTACCATACAAAATAATATTTTTGAAGTGCGTAAGCGTGAATGTGAGTGGCTTATTCTGCTATCAGAAGAAAGCTCTCATGCAGGAAAAAACACACCGCATTACCTTACGACTTGCACAATGTCGCCTTATCATATCCAAGCACTTTCTGTGGCTGTGAAACTGGCAATCTACGACAAATAATATGATACAACATTAGAACATAGTCCACCCAGTTTTCCTCCATCAGTAAAAATGAACCAGATTTGATCTGATATGTGAGATATTCCTATTATCCTTCACGAGTTTGTAAGGTTTCTTGTGATTGGAGGAATAAAACAATGCTCATTGTTTTTCTGTTCTTAAATCATATTGTTTCCTTTTATTGAACAAATAGCTACGTAAACCAATCAGATAAGATCTTGCAAAACTGTGAAGGGCTAAAAAAATGCTCATTGTTTTTCTCTTCTTAAATCCTATTGTTTCCTTTTATTCAACAAATAGCTAGTAAACCAATCAGACAAGATCTTGCAAAACTGTGAAGGGCTACCAGTTGGTGGCTGCACAAATTTAGTTTTAATTTATAAAAGAAATACGATAAATTAGTGGTAAAGCCATGCATTTCACTAGTACTTACCTTGACAAGTGAACAAGGACTGCCACATTGTCCAAACCCATTTCCCGCACCTATCACAGATGACATTACTCAAGGCCTTTGTGTCTTGTTCTTTGATGAACTGATGGCCCAGGATCTTCCTGGCGTCTGGTATCTTCTCAGTGAAAGAGTTATCCTGCCATGCATTGGAAGAGYATCATTTAAAAAGTTCTAAGCTCATGTGATAATGATAGCAATGATAATAAGAATAACATCACACATGTACGTTTGAGAAAAGGAAATAAAATCCTTCACAGTCAGTCTTTATACATGTACGTTGGTTCAGTGACCAGGAATAACGTACTGAACTGTGGCACCAAAGGTTTATTGGGCATACTAGGTCTTTTTTTTACCAAATGTACCGTGATGGCTTAACTGTCTGGTAGGCCCAAGTTCGAAATTCGGTAAAGCCACTAGCCAAGACCGAATTTGTTTTGATTTCGATTATTTCTTTTTCAGTTTCTCGACCATGCTTGTAATATAGCGAAGTTGTTCACCTCCTCACCAGTTGGAATTCTTAACTACTTTATATTGTTTATGATTTGTGCTCTTCAGTTTATTTATAACAGGCGCATTTGATCATGTGCACATGCGAAAAAAAATAAACTAAAATAAAATAAAAATATCCACATGCGAATTTGCACCATATATATAAAAAAACATTATTATAAATATGATAATGATCATCATCATCATCATGATCATCAGGGAAGTACTCACTTTATGCTCCTGCTGTTTGATTCTTAACTGAATCAATTGTTTGACTAATTTCTTTTTCTCTTCTGGGTTATTTGTAGCTTTAATCATTTCTTTACATGACACAATGGCATGCTGGAACTCTTCAGAACTTGTAAGCCCCATAAATGACTGAAAACAAAGACAATGAATATACAGAGTTTTTAAAAATCCTAAAAACTCATTTAAAAATTTTCTGAACATCTCTAGATACATTGTACACGCATCAACTCCACATTAATTCTTTTCTGAGGAGTTTTTGAGGATTTTCAAGGCGACTTGTTAGCAATTAGACCACGAGATCAAGTGGACTCCAAGTGGAGTCTGTACACTCCTCAAGTCAATGAATTATCAACTTGTAATTCAGGAGAAAAAGGTTTTATTGTTTTAGCATCAACCAAAGAACAGGGCAAATTCAATTCTACCATGGTGTATCATGAATATACCATAGTTCAGTAGCCAATCAGAATGATGTATTTGTGATAGCCCATAGTTTAGAGGATRCTTATTATAATACTCACTTCAGGGGAGGAGAAGTGATCTTCACTCACGCCCAAAAGTTCCTCAAACATGGCCAAATCCCCTAAACTATCCTCTGTTGCAATACTCATATTGTCTACTCTAGAATCCTTCCTCTCGATTCCWGCCAAGGTGTTTGTCACATATCTCCAAGATTCATCAGGTGGTATACTACTACTCACTGACGTCTTTGAATCAAGTGTYGAAGATCTTAATTTCTCTGTYCCAGGTYKACTWTTATCATTAAATGACCCTGACCCATTCAGGCTGTTAAAGCTACCACTGTKYGAACGCCATGTATCAGCTTTGTGAATTCCAGGAACAAAATTGAAGTCATTGTTATCTTCAGGGGAAAYGTTTTCATCCTTTRAGWYRTCAAGTGATTGTTCTGTTGGTGTACCATATYTAAAATGTGCTCGTGAAACTTGATAATCAAATTCATTATCTATCTTTTTTTCTTCATGTTGTTGAAATGGTTTGTYGTAGTTTTGAGGTGATTGCGTCTCTTTATTAGATTKATTTGTAWGGTTKTTAAAAGGTGAATTTYCCRTACMATTTTCTTCCTGTGGACCAYGATCATTACCTTGAYCATGTTCTTGATGAASGTCATTATGATATTGATTTTCTTCAGCTAAAGATACTTCATTTACACCTAACTTTWTATTCTCCAACATTGATACTTCAGTTCTACTAGATTTTTCTTCTCGATATTGCAAATCTTGGATATTTTGGAGGCCWTCTTCTGTCTTGTTTAAGTCATCTTTATGTGATAATAATTGATCTGTTTGCATGAGACTTGAGATTTCTTCATTGTCTTTAGATTCTCCTGCACTTTGTGAATCATTTTGAAAACTATCTACAATTTCTCTCTCCTTTGSTACTTTGACTTGRCGTGCCATATTTACGTGTTCATTTCTCTGCCCTGATGTTTGAACATCAAGTGCCTCACCTTCTGTCTTGTTATTCTCATGAGAATCAGACATGTTATAAAGATATTTCTCAACAGAATTCATAACTCCAACGCCATCGTCMAGACTATCKGCAATTTTAGCTACAGATGATTTCACTTTCTTCTTCTTCTTTGAAATATTTTTTCCCTGTGGAACAGTGCTAAATGAAGAGCTGGCCACAGAGTTTGTGAATTTTGACGAAGTGGAGAATGATGATTCCAAGCCATTGAAGGTATTAGATTTTTCTGGACCAGTGAAAGATTCTGAAATTTAGATCAATAAAGAAATGAATGGATTTGTTGGAGAATGGATGAATAGAAAGTAAATGAATGAAATGGATGTGAGAGTGAATGGAAAAACGAATTAACAAGCAACTCAATGAATATATCCTCAAAAATTAAAGATGAAAACCAGACTGAATGAATTCAAAGAATGAAGAATCAATCAATCAATCAATCAGTCAATCAATCAATCAAATCAATCAATAAATTAATAAATCAATCAATCAATCAATCAATCAATCAATCAATCAATAAATCAATCAATCAATCAATCAGTCAGTCAATCAATCAATCAATCAATCAATCAATCAATCAAGTTAGTCAATAAGAGAGAACTTAGATAATAAACAGATAAATCTAAAATTCCACAAATAACTTTACCTGTTCTGGCTGGCGGATCATGTCTTGGAATATCTAAAGTTCTTAGAGAATAGAGAATAAACCATAATCAATGATTCAAGACAGTATAATTCATTCCCAAATCAAATTATTCATTGAGAATAGAACAGAGATTTCATTAGAAACTGCCAACTTGAACAAGCTCCAGCATCTATTTTGACCTTTGATCTGACTACTTTTGCCAAATACCATTTTAATACTAGTAGCCCCTTCTGATTCACACATGGATACTTTGTTCAGAACAAAACCAATGATAGAAATACTTACATATTGAAATCAAGATGTGATAACCCATACAATAAGGCTGTTTTAGCTGTGTCTACTTTTTCTTTATCAAATACAAAAGCATGAGGTTGGTAGAAGTCCCTGTGTTAGTAAACAGAGTCAGCATTAGAAAGTWTATTAATTACCATAAGATTGTTTGCATTACTGTTTGACCAGCCAAGATTATGTGTAATCTATTAGTGATGGATTCCACTTTGACTTACGTCAGAAGTTTATCATCTTGGGTAATGATGTTTAGGTAGCTGCCRAGAGAGTTCTCCTGGCATGCAATACGAACCCAAACTTGACATCTCTCTTTGTCGTTCTTTAATGATGGAATCCTTTGACAAGAATATGAATAATCAATAATAAGTATTAATAGTCATAGATAATGAATACATTAATCAATTAGTATTGATAAACAAGTCATCTACTAATAGGAATAAATGAATGAAACAAATAAATGGATGAATGGGAGATGAACAGATCGCATGTTGTCAAAGATAAGGAATCAAACCAAACCACTTGAGCCACCTTTTCTSATTTTTCATTGACTAGCAAGAGCGATGAATAAATGGAATTGAATAAATGGTAGAAAGAGATTACTAAATTTGATCAGTAGAAATAGAGGAATGATGACTTCTTTTAAAAGTTACAAATCTTGAAGAGATCTGTATAAGAAATCTGACTGTAACATATCAAAACATGAATAAAATGATTTACGCAGGCCTACCTAGATATACTCTGTAAAACTTCTTTGTATGTTACTTTATTCACTAGAGGCCAATAAGTTGTTTCAGACCCAGAAGCCCAGTTGAGAATCCTAGAAAAGGAAATATCATTTTCCAGATAAGTATCACAAAGTATACTGAAAATCGAATTGTATAGTGCATAACTTATAACAATTT